ATAGTTAGGTGATGCATCCAATTCCAAAATTTACATTCTAAGGGAATTATATTGTCATGCTCCTAAGGAATGAAATACATGTTCAACCGGTAACATATGTATATTCATATGTATACATATGCACAGACATATGATGTTTATGTGACATAAAGATAATAATATGATTCAATAACTAACCAGGAAGATTTTTAAATAATTGTAAAATCTACTTGGGGTGATAAGATATCTTCAGTACCATTTCCACACTACCTGTGAAATATAGTTTACAAAATAACTCAGTAATATTTGGAATTAAGCAATAGTAGATTTAATTCTGGAGACATTTTTTGGGGTCTACCAAAGTTTTTGCTGAATTTATGCAAGTTTCCATGCTATACCTTCTGCTTAGTTTCATTTTATTGAATGAGTAATGTGTTCAGTGCTTACTATGTCCAAAATACTTTGCTGTTTATGTTCTGACAATGCAAGGACAATTAGATGTGTTTCCTGCCTTTAAGAAGCTCACATAATGCAGCCTAGTAATTTTGCTATAAAATCATTTTTAACAAATCATTTTTCATGTAGTGTTGAGTCAACATAGTAACTTCTTGGAGGCACCATGAATGATAAGTTCTGCTCTCTCATGTGCAAAGTGTCTGATTCCCAGGGAATTTTAGCTTCAGTGTTTGAATGAGACAGAGAAGGCAGAAATCAACAACTATTCAGAGATTTCTTAAGTGGAACAGAGTCTGTTGAACACAAACCCTCAAGTTACTGATGAAGTCCAAGAGAAGAAAGATCTAGGGGTAAGATATGAATTGTCACAGAAATAGGGGACTTGAATAAAAAGACTAACCAGAAATCTTTGGCAGAGAGCACATTGTGAGAGTCCAGCAGACCTTAAGGTACATTAGCAAAAACTGAAGGATTTCAGAAATAAATGTGTGTGGTTGAGGGTATTTTCACCTCATGGTGAGAGTCAATCTACTTATTATCTTGAGCTATTTTTTGTGTGTATGAATGTATTGCCTGCATGTTTGTAAGGGCACCCATGTTGGGAAATGTCCGCATATCAGAAGATGGCATCAGATCCTCTGGAACTGAAGTCAGGACAGTTGTTAGCCACCATGTTGATGTTGGGAATCGAACCTAGGTACTCTGCAAGAGCAGTCAGGGCTCTTAACCACCAAGCCAACTCTCCAGCCCTTGAGCTTTTGAATATCGTGCTCACAACTCTTCATGCATACCACATGCAGTCAGCTCTGTTAATGTAGCCTTCTATGGACTTTTTCAAAGAATTAATTACTAAACTTAATTTCTATATTTTTAGAAGAATAATTTCCTTTAACTTTGTTTATGAAAATCAAATGAGTCATTCTGAAAACTTCTCTCATGAGAGGAGGAAATACATGTCTCAATTTATGAAATCTTTCTCAGAGAGGACAATACATCTGGGCCAAGCCACTCAACATACTGCACTTCGAATATATACATAAATGTGTGTGTGTATGCATGTCTGTGCATACAAACACACTTCCATGGGAATACAGAGTAAGTAAACATGGACACTTCAGTGTTCAAATAATAGAATAAAGTTAATTGTTTAAAACCATACACAGCTGCAGTTTCTCAGGGTGGGTGTATTGGAAGATGACAGTTAATTAGATCCATTCAATGAGAGACGATTCCACCATCTGGAGACTGGGTGTACTTGATGACAAACAAATGGCCTAATTACTTTTAAACGTTGAATATGGACACCAAATGTGTTATTATTCTGTGGCCCTGGCTTTGTGGAAATATATATGGGTCCTATTTAAATAGGTATTTTAGGAATAGAATAGAAAACAGAAGTATTATATAATTTAGGCCCAATCCAATTTTTTTTCCTTCCTTCCTTCCTTCCTTCCTTCCTTCCTTCCTTCCTTCCTTCCTTCCTTC